AGTAAAGCACTTCTGCAAACACTGCAGATCCCTCCTACACATCAACTCAGTTATTTAAAATGGAGAAATGGTTTACCTGACAATGGGAATAAAAACATTTTGCTGACCTCAAATTACAGAAACAAAAGTCTAGATAGTGACTATAAAAACGACTAAGAGCAGTCACAGGTGTCACAGCTGGTTTATTTAACGTGTTCTTTGGTGTGTGGCGAGACGCTGACATGCCTCAGGTTTAAGAAGAAAGAAAGAAAGTGTACTTTATTGGTCCCCGTGGGGAAAATCCCTCTCTGCATTTATCCCATTCACTCAGTGAAGCAGTGGGCAGCCACTGGGCGCCCGGGGAGCAGTGTGTGGGGACGGTACCTTGCTCAGGGGTACCTCAGGGTAGTTGTTCAGGGGAATCGAACCCCCGACCTTCCGATCATGGGGCCACCACTCTACCTACTGAGCTATCCCTGCCCCTGGTTTAAAAAGGTCTTCATTTTGCAGCAGATGACTTTTAAGCTGGTGGAATAATTTCGTAGTACTGCTACCTTTAGCAGCAATAGTTTTACGGCATTAATGCAAATGACCGCACTGTGTTCTGCATCCTCCTTACGAAATCCAAACGCAGCGAGTCTCATTCCCTCGCTCGTCTGAAGCTCCCGCCATATTTTTCCCTATCTGGTGGTATATAAACACAGAGTGCAGTGGGCCACGGGGGGGTTAATATTGCCGTGCCAATTTATACTTGACAGTTACATCGAGTATACTCGATATATCGCCCAGCCCTAGTTTTAACTGTTGGTTTTGTCCTCTGGGCTCTGCACTGGTCACGTAACTGAAAAGAATGAATAGTGTCATTGAGTTTGTAACAGACTTCCTCGTATGGTATGAGGTTACTGTGCAGTTAATGGGATTTCCCATCTCTTCTTCAGCTCCCACCTAAAATGTTTCTACACCTGAGATGTGAAGAGCATCTTTGCCCTTCACTTGTATTCGTTCTTCTTCAGTTATTCACTCATTGGGACGAAAAAGAAATAAAAACACACGCACAGATTTTAGCCTCAGGTAACACATGGTTTACTTTGTGAGGGGGAGATGCCTGAGCCCCACCCACTGAGCCAGAGAGCAGCCAGGGACAGCTCGAGTGAATCGAAGGCAAAACATGCCTAACTTTGTATGCCCATCTGTTCAAATCTGCATATTCACTGTAAACTAATTGTTCATTTTATCTTGTGCTTTTTGCTTTTACTGTTCTTGGTTGTCATTGTTCTACTATGTGTTTTACTCCATTGTTAAGTGTCTTTGGGTGCTTTTAAATAACATTTATTATTATCATTATTATGCCTCAGTCTTTTCAACAAAACGCCTTTTAGTCACCTGTAGTCTAGATTCTCCATCCTTTATCACCATCTCAGATGACAACACACTTATGTTTAAACTATCAGGACTGCTGGTTTGATGAAGGGTTTTAGTGTCAAACTATAAACTGTAAGAAAACCCACAAATTGGTGAGCATCAATTCATCCATTGATAGAAACACTGTCACTGGCTTAATTGGGCCAATCAACTTGTAGAGCTGTCACAACAATCTCTTTATACTTCTCAATAACTAAATGCTGTCCTACTCACATCTCCTGGCTGGAGTCTAAAAGCTGCTTACTCCAACTACCAGCATCATAATGAGGACCGGGCCACACTTAAGAGCTTGGCATCTTGTGCCAAGCCCCTCCTCTAATGTGTCGTCAGTAGTGGACAGATGGGGAACCCCGTCCCCCTGCCCCCGCATAATAAACCTCCCAAAATCCAAGAAGGCCTGCCTAACAATTTCCATTTAAGGCCTAGAGCACAGAGTACACTTCACAGTGACAGCTGTTACCGTGCACTTACAAACGTTTTAAGACTAATTGTTGCCATGTACAACACAGCTATCCCTTTCTAATTAAGCATCTGCCCCAGAGACAGGAAACAAAGTCAGATGACGTTTCCTGGTGGCAGGGCTTGCACAGATTCCTGCATAACCTGCTCAGTTAGTAAACATAGCAACGCCTTTGTCTGTGTTGTAGCAGAAAAGGAGAAGGGGAAGGTGGCAGAATACAGAAGTGAAGTCATTTATTTGCAGACTCAACTACTTCCGTGTGAAACTACACTATGCCACCTCAGTCTTCAAGTCTGCTGTGGTTCTGAGTGGTTGGCCACCAGCTCTAACTAAATTGGCTTCTGGCAGTGTACTTTCAGTTCCTCAGCCTTGTTGGAACCACACCCAGTATTAGTCCTCAAAGTTAACCCGCTGTGCTGAAGTCCTGGGCTGAAGCAACTCAAAAACACGTCACTGTACAGCGACTCAACAAGGTGGTGACGACAATGGTACAAGCAGCAAGTTGGCTTGTGATTAAGCCCCAAACTAACCACTGGTTTTCCGGCATGTTTAAACAACAAAGTCAGGAAGTCTGTCCGAGGGAATCGTTTTATTTAAAAGTACGAGCAGCAAAGAGAAACAAAGCCTACACATCCCCAATCCCACACACGCCACTCGGTACGTTAGTTTTTGGTGGGCGGCGGGTGTAAAAGTGAACTGAAAGTCGGACAGGATATGTAACTTCAACCTGCTGGTGAAGTTTGCGACTGCAGTTACATTAACGTGTCCCAATGCGCCTCCATGCCAAATAGCTTCTCGTTTTATTAAACCCGAGAACCTGCTGAGATTTCTTCGTAGTGCTGTTCAGTTTGTAGTAGTTTAGTTGCACTGCCGCACAGAACAGCGCTGAAAGGACACTTCAACGAGCTCAACATAGCTGCACTGCCGTAGAACTGCTTGCAGCAGGCGAGCGGCGGTGGGAACAGTTTCGACCCCAGGAATACATTCGATGACACCGCTACAACAGGACTGTGCTCCGTCGTTAGCAGGCTAATAAAATAGCTTAATGTAGGTCAGCTAACGTTAACAGACTACTCATCCGTAGGCTAATCTTATCTTGACTGAGAAAAGCTGCCTTAATTGGCGCTCAGTTTCTGCATATCCACACAATGAACTGCGCTAATTAAACTCAAGCGGTACTACAATACCTATTAAGGATACAAAACAGTTTGAACTTATCTCGAGCGAGTTAACAGTTGCTATCGTTAATCTTTCTCAGACACTGAAAGCAGCTGCCGATAGCACAGAGCTAGTAGTTGGGGTTAGCGCCTTCATTTAGTTTCCATTGCTTAACACGTAAACGCTCACGCTCGGTTAGCGGCTAAGCTAGCTACTTAGCATTAACCCTGCTGATTAGGCCCCGTCTTCTCCAGCGTTAACCGCGATGTTAACAGGTTGCAAATCACGCCCACGCGTTGTATGTTTTTCTCTCTCACCGTAAGCCCGGTGCCCAGAACGATAACGTCGTATTCTTCATCCATTTTTTCCAAAAGTCTTTGCTCTTCCGCTCCGGAATATGAGGAAAGAAGAAAATGGAGATCTGCGGGGCTACAAGTGAGAAGGGGCTGCGGCTCAGCGTCAGGCGCCTTCGGGGCGGGGCTTCTCAGCCTGTCAGTCACTGCAGGAAGAGGCGTGAAGAAGCGTCGTACCGGGTACCTGTGTGGGCCAATGGTGTGGACGCACTGCTTCACAAAGCACAGTGTTGCACCTGTGCGTTACAGCCGGCAGGGATCAGGTAGGGTGACCAGAACCCGACAAAGTAGATATGGGCCAAACACTGTGTTGATGTGGGAAACCTTACCAGTGCCGGAAGGTAGTGTGACATATCCACAGCTAAATAACAATCTCATAAACTGTTTTAACGCAATACGGCCAAATATATTTAAATGTGACTCACTCATTAAGCATAAGTAAGTAAAACTTTATTTATACAGCACCTTTCAAGATAAAAATCACAAAGTGCTTCACAGAAGCTAAAACCTAAAACTAAAAATCAACTAAAAGCAAGTTTAAAAAGATGGGTTTTTAGCTGTTTTTTAAAAGCGACCACTGAGTCCACAGATCTCAGGCTCAAAGGGAGAGAGTTCCACAATCTGGGGGCCACAGTTCCAAAAGCTTTGTCGCCTTTTGTTTTCAGCCTCGTGTGTTGGACAGCAAGCAAGCCCTGGTCACATGACCTCAGGGACCTGCTGGGAATGTATGGATGTAAAAGTTCACTTATATATGTTGGTGCTTGACCATGCAGGGCCCTGAAAGTCAAGGTCAAAACCTTAAAGTGGATCCTGAATTTAACGGGGAGCCAGTGCAGCTGAATCAGCAGGGGTGTGACATTGGAAAACTTGGAGGACTTGGTCAGAAGCTTAAAGTACAATAAGGATAACATATGTATTTCTGGTCCACTGAGTTAGGCTTTATTATAGTCCCGTTTTCCATGTTTCTACACCAGTAGTTAATAGTAGCTGTAATTTGTCTTGTAATCATAGGGTTCTAGCAGGAGTGCATCCATTGGTTTTATGCCTTACTTGTCAATTATAGCAATTGATTGCCAATTATTACAGACATTTGACACACGTACTGTGTCATTTCATTCGCTTGTGTGAAGCTGAACAAAAAAACTACAGCAAACAAACGCTGTGGCTTCATTTTCTTTGTGATAGTTTCCATCACAGTCGCAAAAATGTACAGAACCTTTTAGTGAATTGGAACTTTGCCTGTTGAGCATAGTGTGGGCAACATGCTCAACTGCTGCAACAACATATATGCATGACACACCTGTTTGGCAAACAGAAAAGTCCCAAGTCCTACATCGGTGTGTGGGCTGCTTTGAGCTCATATAGATAGTCACCAAGACCAACATATTTTTAAGTAGAAACAACAGGCAGCCAAGCAGATTGTCAAACAGTATCAAATGTAGTGGCCGACAATGAAAGCTGCATTTTTGTGTTGTGTCGCCACGAACTGTCCTGGCAGGATGCAGAGTTGATCAGGTAAAGTGTTAGCATGATCATGTCTAAACCTGCGTCTTTTAGCAAACACAAGGGTGACAGTTTTTATTGTAATCCACACAATCTGTGCAAAATAACTTGAATCACACTATTAGGCTTCAGCTTTTCTTTATTTCAATAAATTAAGAACTCAATGTTTCAAGGATTGATTAGGGTCTGTGTGCCAGGTCACGTTCAAACACTTGCACTACGTGGGGTTTCCTGGCCAGCTGCCTGGCGGTTGTGCCGGATGCATCCTCAGAATCTTTGAGGCCGAGCTGCAGGAGCGTCCTGGCTGCGTCTGCGTGCTGCCCAATGCACGCCATGTGAAGAGCTGGGAGAAGAGAAACAGCAGTAAAAAACTGCTTCCTGTAACAACTGAGTTTTGGTGGTGACATTATCACCATATGACAATGAAAAGACAAACTAACTCTGTTCCTGTTTCCAAATCTGTTTCATTCACTGTGCCGACATATTTCCTGTAAATGAGTTTTATGAGAGCCAACAGACGACTCTCCCATTTCAGAAGCTTGGTGCTGTTTCTGTAACGCTGAAGATGTTACAGGTCACTATGGAGCACTGCGCTGATGAGTCTCTGCAGGTTCATTTTTCAGACTGAATGAATGCAAACGAGGGACGTGCACAGGTGTATGCAAAACACAGGAACAGATCTTTCTTTGTTTGATGTTAGTGACAAAAAGAGAAGTAAAGCCGTCACAGACGTTCACCCAATATTAACTGTGCAGCTTTCACGTTATTTCAAAGAGTCCAACCAAAGCTTAATGAAGCCTGTAAACTAAAAATGGTGGATTTTTTATGTTGGTTCACTTGCTGCAGCGGTGCATGGCGTGGAAAATGATGCTGCATCCCTATAACCTGCTCCAGTGCAAGATGTGTATGAGATAAGAAATCAGTAGGTACGAGATTACCGCCTACTGACCAATCAGTTCTCTGGAATATAGCACCATCATTCCTGGAACAGAACTCCGTGCACGGACAGTAGGAAGGTCTACGGTTTCTTAAAGTCTTCCCTGATGAGCATCGATAAGAATCGTGGAATAAAATTACTCAGAAAAACAAAGCATTAATCTAAACATTCATTTCTGTCTGAATGACAGAGCTGCGACTCTGAGCCTTTATTCCTCACGACATCAAACAGGCAAAGCTTTATTAATAAAGTGGAGCGACATGTCAAAGCTCACACACTCACACTGCTGCTTTCAGCTTGTATCGTGTTTAAACTGCTCATGTTTCTATTATTTTCATTTGAAAGCAGCTGCCTGTGGACCTGTCTCTGTTTGCCATATGCTGCAAACATCGCCTCCTCCATGAAAACTTCACTCATCACCAGACTGACAAACGCAGTGTTCACGTAACCAGCTGACGTCCATCACCGTGTACCAAGTATCCTGACTGTTAGTGTGCGTGAAGCCAGAAAAGGTCACGTGTTATTTCCCCTCGTCACATGATCCGTATTATGTTTTCAACTGGCTGAACAAAAGCAGTATTTCAGCTGCAGAACACACGGCACACTGGACACTTCATGGATGGCATTGTTTGTTAGATAATCACAGATAATAATTATCTCTGATTAAGCTGCATGGTCAGAGAAAATAACTTTACATAAAGGCACTGAGAAGGTCATCCTACCAGTCCTCCCCTTCTTGTCCCGGGCATGAGGATCCGCTCCCAGCTCCACCAGTGTGTTTATAGTGGACGTGTGGCCCTCCTGAAAGAGATGCATGTCAGTGCGACTCGGAGAAGGATCTGTAGCCCGTGCTTTGCCTCGAGGCTTTTGTTCTCGTTATGTTCAGTATGTGAGTCTTGTATCAGCAGTCTGAGAAAACTGTTCCTTCACTCTTCATGGCTACAATCACAGACGACATAAAACAGCCTCCAGTAATTCTTGTAATGAAGAGCACAGCCATTGCGGGGGGGGGGGACGCCAGAACGCTTGGACACTGCTAGCATAACGGGCAGGGTTTTGACGGGGCTCCCACACAAACGCAAAGCAGGAGATGAAGCATCGCCAAATATGTGCAAACATTGTTCTTGTAAAACAAAGGGGCCAAGCAGAAACAGTTTGGGAACCGCTGTGCTATAGGAACCGCTGTGCTATAGGAACCGCTGTGCTATAGGAACCGCTGTGCTATAGGAACCGCTGTGCTATAGGAACCGCGTGCAAAAAGAAAACACAAACCGGTGTGATATACCAACGTTACAGACATGCTTTATTTTCTCGTCCCTCCAAATCCATGTGCACAATTCCAGATACGATGGCCACTGTAGGACAAACAACCACTGTTTGTCTGTAGTGAAGAGACGCTGTCAGTCCACGATTTACCTCCACTGTCAATATCTATGTCAGTGCTCTCCTTTACAGCGATACTGATGTCCTCAACTTTTCTATCAGTAAGCACTGCTTTAGCTGCTGTTAGCTAACATTAAATATCAGTGAATCAAACATTGTTGGACACTTAGCAAATGACCTCCCATACAATGTGTAAATGTAATCAAACTGTTTATCAGAGAGAAAGTGGGTTTTTCACCCACGTCTAACATTAGCTTATCACCAGCTGTTGTTGTTTAGCCAGCTCATCTGGACTGCATCAGTGAAACTACGCCATAAAGGGGTCAAACTACAGGAAAAGTGCTGTTAGTTCATTGTGAAGACTGTCCTGTAATTATAAAATATGACATTTTTGTCAGTTCACAGAAAATGTCCTTTTGTAAAAGTTTGAACTGACTGCAGTAACGTTTTCCCACAGTTTTCCCACACAGTGGAAAAACGTTATTTAATTCGTACAGCATGACCGTCAGGCGTGGGGATGGGTCTTTATCAAAAGCTGGAAAACGAATGAAAATACAGTAAAAATAGATGCACTTCTGCACTTTTCCCAAAGCTGTGCAGGGGGCCGGATTAGAGTGTTTGCCGGGCCGATTCCGGCTCTCGGGCCACATGTTTGACACAAAGATAAATGTAATATTCCTGAAGGATGAAACTATTCCTCCTTCAAACCAGCAACCCGTGAATTTCAGCGTCACGCCTCGACATCCTCCGCTCCACCAGCTGAGCCATGACGAGGCTCTGCTGTTAGTAAATATTAACCACTCCACGCAACAACACAGCAAAATACCTGAAACTTCTCAAGTCATCCCATCTTGGTCCCTTTCCTTACATTCCTACGCTTATTTATCCTTCCCAACCACTCCGAAGCTTCCCACCAGACTGCTGAAGGAGACCAGAGGGAAATCCCTGCTCTGACCTTGGCAGCGTAATGCAGGGCGGTGAGCTGGATGCTGGTCGCCCTCTGGTTCACCTCGACATTCAAGTCCTTCACCAGAAACCGCAGAGCCTCATCCTGGCCTGTGACGGCTACCTGGTGCACTGGCTGAGCCCCGAGTATGTCAGCAGCTGCTGCAGATGCCTGTGGCGCACACACACACACACACACACACACACACACACACACACACACACACACGTCAGGAGGGCACCCTCGTGTCGGCCTTTGA